GAATCATCACGACTCTGTCTGCCACTCCCTTTCCCTCCTTTCTCTTTCCGAGATATTAACACCGTTTAGAAGAACATTAAGCAGTAACTCGCGACATCTTACCATATGTGAAACAGATGAGTAGAAAATGATACCGACAAAATATACAAGGGCTAGTAAAATCTTATTAATCCCCTAACCTTTGTAAAGCCTAAACTTATGTTTCAGTTGTCAGAGGGCGCTATTACAACTTGTCTTTCTACTCCTTGAATATATTTTTATACCAGGCGTCTGTATATTATGGTATAATACAGTGGAGATGGCAAGTTTAATGCGATCTTTTTATCCATTAAGGAACAATGGCTTCCACAAAGCAACAAAAAATTGCGGAGTCGCTTTTTATCCTGAATCACCGACAGCTGGGTGTGCTAAATCGACTATATGTGATGAAATGCACCCTCGGCGACCCGGCCACTCGTCCAAACTTCATGCCTGGCGTAGACAAGGCCTTTGACAGTGCCTGGAAGACACTGCTCAAAAAGTTCCCCAATTTCGATACCAAGACGGCTGCCTCCACACTTCAAGTGTTTACCTCACAATCGGAGATTGTAAAACAGATGTCCGGATTCTACTACAACCTTGTTGACGTTCTGGAGGTGAAGGATAATGTACTCGACCTGCTACTCCGAATTACCATCTCTGGCGTTAAACTGGAGATTACCGTTAACTCCGAACTAACGCGTCTCTATCTGGAGTTGATTACTAACTACTTTTCAATGATGTATTTCCTTACATGCTTGCCAGACCTGAAGGCAATCCTCGCGTTGTTTAACTTCCTGTACGAGCAGGCAAACGGAAAGACAGAGCCCAGTTTTCCGAGAATGGTTGAGCGCTTTACTGACGCACCGGAGGCAATGATTAAGAATTTACATCTCGATGTCAATGCACACTCGCAAATTATTGCGGGCGCGCTGGCATCCCTGGGTGATCTCTTTGGACGGCGCTTAGTTCGAGCCCAAAATTGGCGTGATGGCCTATTTCTGGACATTTTATCAGAACCCGCAAAGATAACGCACACCGCTCTCAGCGATCAACTCTCCTGTGAGCTTCTTCCCTACGAGGTTATGGAACGGTGGGTTATATTTGGCTACCTGGTAATATACCCGACCCTGACCGAGGATGATGATGCTTTCAGCCGACTTCGATTGGCATTGCGGAACAGTTATGTCGTGGTACTCTACCGTGATGAGGTAGTTCACGTACACAGTCTCCTGACGTCCTTTTTGGAGACTGTTTGGACTGCGAGGTCCACATCGAAACGACTAACAGACATCAAGGAGTCTCTCTCGGTTGCCTGTTCTCAAGCCCCTGGCGTGCACTCAGATCGACGTGCATATCTACGTACAGCGCTGCGTCAACTGCACTCCATCTTGGCTGACC